GCCATCCCTGGCACCCAGAGCAGGCAGGGCACACAGCCCTGCCCCAGGTGGAGCCTGCCCGCTGCCCAGCTCCACGCTGCCGCTCCAGGAGCCACCTTCCTCCTCCGGGAGCAGCCACGGAGTCACGGCTGCTGCCTGACCCAGCCGAACTGAAATCACTGCTCTCCTCCTTCGGAAACAGAACATTACAAAAGCGGTGGATCTCAACATCGAAATTTAAATTTCAAATATGACATACAAACGCAAAAATTGAAAGAGGAGTGCAAAATGAAACTGTGTGGAATATGTAAATGTAGGGCTTCTGTTTTTTCAAACTGGAAGTCAAAATGATGTATTTTTATTTTCTAAAAAGAAAAAATGCATCTTGATTGCTAGACAAAATAAAATATGAACTCGCAAACCAACAGAAACATGTTTCACCCAGCTGTCTTTATTTTTTTTCCTCTGTCTCTGTTTCTCAGTGAAGATTTTTTTATGTCATTTCATTTTTTTCATCTCTTTAGGGAGAGGTTTAATGTCTCATGGTGTCAGTCTTTGTACAAGTCACCGCATTATTTGCGGCGGTACATCTACAGTAAGAACAAGTGATAATAGTAACTTGTTCGTAAAATACATGCTCAAAATAAAAACTGGCTTCCAGTTAAAACACAGTCTGAAATTTATATATTCCATGTTTAAGAGGAACCTTTTACTGACTGCAAAGTAAAATTAAAATGTACCTTGTAAAAATTTCCATTTTTAAAAAATCAGCTGTTTTTTAAAAAGAAAACAGCTGTGAGGAGTTTGGGGAGTTACTGAAAGGGCTTCCTACAGAAACAAAACAAAAAACTTACTACTCAAATACTGTGATTCAGTAAAACACAAATGGAAAAGTTTTCACCTCTGAGAAGAATTAGATTTAAAAATTAAATTTAAAGATTTAAAAATTAAATGACTTACTGAGACTATAGATTGAAACATTGTTTTACTATTGATTTTCCTCCTAACGAAGATCTCTCACGTACTTGCAACTCTCATTCTCTCTGACAATGATCTTCTGGAGCAATCAACACCTCTGTTTCTCAAAAAGCGCCCTGAGACCATGTCAGTCTGGCTGTGGCACAAGGAGCTCCAGGAACCTGCTCATCCTCTGGAGCACCCCTTCCCCGAGGGGACAGGGGAACTCAGTCCAGCCTCCTCCGACCTGCCCATCGGCCAAAAGCACTCTGACTACACAGAAAATAACGCCTGCAACCACAGCTCTGCCTATCAGGAGCTTTGGAAAGACTGGATGGGAACCGACCCACAGAGTAAGGAAGGAAAAAGTGGGGAAAACCCAAAAATCAGACACAGAAGTTTGGAAGCCTTGCGCAAACAGCATGAAAGAACTGGAGCCCTCACTTCATGCAGACAGCCACAAACCCTGCCCAGCTCCACAGGCCGAGCTGCAGCAGCTGAACCTTCTCTTTTCCTGCTCAGGTTTAGCACATTCACTTCTCCCATGTGACCTCAGCCTGCACTGCACACGGGCAGAGGAGCTGCCTGCCCGGCCAGCTCACAGCCCTGCTGGTGCTCGGGACACCCTCCCGCAGCTGGGCCGGCAAGTGGGATTCCAGGACCCCTGATCCCCCAAAGCACTCCTGAGCCAGCTGGAGACGCTGAAGGAAATGCAGGCACCAGAACTGACTCATGCCCCGCAGCACTCACCCCAAGATTGTCAGAACCGTTAATAATCAGGCGAAAAAGCTGCCAAATTGAGCAGAGGATTACCAGGAAACATTTCAGCAAACTGTCTGCAGGAGTCCTGTATTTCCACTTTTGGCTGGAAGCACTGGTTTCCCACACAGTGCTGAGCAGCTGCGGACGTGGGGAGAGGGGATGCAGTGGTAGGAGGAGGAAAGGATATGGAAGCAACACAGTCTGTGACTACCAGTGGGTGCAAAAGTCATTTCTATGCATAAGCATCTGCAGGATTTGATTGTCACAGGCACACTCATTAAAAAGGTAAGGAAAACTAAAGCCAAACAGCTTTTCCAATATTCCTTAAGCACACTGGCCTGCTCAAGTGCCCACGTGGTGGGACCGGCGTGGTTCCACGTGCTCAGCCCGACGCTGTGCACCACGTGTGTGTCTGGGGCACCCAGGAGAAGGAACACTGAGCACAGGGTGACTGAGACACCTGCTCACTGGAGCCCACTGCAAGGGCAGTGGGCACGAGCCTGCCTGGCTCCTAGGACAAAAGAAACTAATCCTAAACTCAACTACATTCAGGCAAGCAGTAAGGTAAAAAGAATGGAATTG